ACCACCTAAAAACGTCCACGGCTCAAGGAACACATCAAAATAAACATCAGTACAGAGGTTCTAAAAAGAGGGAGCTCGGCAATGATCAGTACTTAAATTCCAACCTAGACTATAAGGTAAGCGAAAAACTGATTTAACTGATTTACTTATTTATGTACTTGCTCGATTTCCTGTAGAGCAACACTCTCATTCCATTTTTGGCTTGTGGTAAATCTCAGAGGAGGTTAGGATCGATATATTATATTTCGAACTGAATGTTATAAATCTACTACTACTCTACATGAGAGCTCATTCCATTCACGATTTAAGTGTTGGGAAATCAGTGGGTAACTTTGTTCTGCATTGGTGAGCAATTCAAGGAACGGGGTCCCGATTTTAGTCCCGTACCATCCTCATACGATTTTTATGCTGCCAATCTTGCTGTCTGTTTAAAATTCCTGTTGAATAACCCCCGATGTTGTCTGGCAGCTCTACTCATCGAAACGTTAGGGATGTTACGATTTCTTCCTTCTCGTTCAATCATTCACTTGTATTTGAATTTACTTTGGCGCTATCGCAATATACGGGGCACTGTAATGGCAGTGCATTTGAAACCGCGTGAAACATGTCTTTTTTTGTTAAAAACGGGACTAAGCCTTAGGCAGGGGAGGAGAGACTCCAAGGTGCGTGAGCCATTTTCATTTTCCCGAAGCTCCTGCCCCTCCTAGGTTTAGTCCTAGAAGATGCCCCCGTATATTGCGATAGCGCCTTTACTTTTAGATGCTTTTCCATCAGTCATTTGCTGAAATCGCATAGCCAGGGAGCTTGGCAGAATTTCTGTCTCACAGCTGTCTATGACCGAATTTTTTCTGCGGCCTGTTTATTCTTTATTTCCCCCTCCATCAGCTTTTAATGTGCGAGTTTATAGGACCAAGCTCTATCCGTCGGGAGGAGTGAATGACGATCCTTATCCTTTTATGTTCGTCTGCTGTCATAAAAGTTGCCGAATCTCTAGGACGATCGGCAGTGCCATTTTTGAATGTGAGTTGGTTTCACGATCTAGATTTCTCAAATAGTCAAGGATGAGAGTGCACTGATATCTAGTGTTAAGTTGATGGAGACGATGATGTTAGGGATTTCTGAACTGGGTTTCGCGTTATCAGCGTTTTACGCGTCTTTCTTTCTTGAATTCAGTAAGTTCCCGATTTCTCAAGGTAGTACATCCCATGACCAGTATACGTGGGGCATTCCAGATATACGCGAAACTGAAGGTGCGAAAAGGTCTCGAAAGAACAGCAAGGGAACCAGAGCGTTGCCTATAGAACCAACAATCCAAGAACGAATTCGTGGGCAAAAACTACCGAGAGTGATGTTGTGGGTGAAAAGTTGACCGATAATGAAAGAAAAAAATGAAAAAAGTCGAACAAGAACTTAGACAGGGATCCTTCTCTGTCGCGCAATGAGGAAGAGACGCCTCGAGACGAAGTTGTCTGATCTTACCGCTGAGTAAATTGCGTGACCCAATGCTGCACAATAGCCAGAAATTGCAGTTGGACGGATTGTGCGTGCATCGTCATTCGCTGCGGAGAAAAAGTGCGGCTGTCCCGGTAAAAAAAATGTCAGTAAGAACTGCAGCATCCACATCGACTTTACTCAGGGATCCGAGTCTGATAGTCCTGTGGTCTCAAAGCGAAGATCACGAAGCCTCTGCAGTCAATCAACGGTGGCAGTGGGCTTCAAAAATTCCGGACTCACCTTTTTTAGGGTTTATATAGCCTTTTGCGGCATTCCGATGTGAGTTTTGTTGAGATTCCAATCATATGTTCTCCATTGTCAAGGCTACGTGCTCTTAACAGCCTAATATTCCGAAGCACAGACCCTGCTAGGACTTGTTGCTTTCAAGAGCGATTTGTTGCGGGATGGCGAGTGTACGCAATAAGGACCCAGCGGGCGCGAGAAGATAGAGAAAAACAAACGGAAAAGCGGGAACGACGCTCTAATTTCTAATGAACGATCAAATTGTGAAGGGTCACCGACAGGAGGCCGATCGCCGCGATGAGGAAGGCGACAGAAACGCGAACGGGACAGCGGACGAGTGGCACCGTGTGATGTGAGGCGTACTGTCGCACATTCTGTATAGCTTGACGCGAAACCGTACGCGGCGCGTCTCGCCAGTGACCGTGACGGCTCTCCTAGCATGTGATGGGCTCTGTCGTGATACCCCATTGCGGAGTACATTGCGGTCACTTGTGACAACACTACAGCCGCTACCGCTCACTTGTAAGCCGTGAGAATTTCACGTTTTCTGCTTTTGTGAGCTAAGCTTCTACAAAGCATCGATCCACCTTTCGTTTATCCATTTTTGAGATCAGATAAATTAACTAGATAATGTAGAGTGATGGAAGCGAAATTTGTGACTGCCTTGTTGTTTTCAGTCGAAAGAGGACTTCTGGGATCTTGTGGCCGCACAAGAATCGCCGTCGTTCTACCGCCTACTTTCCGGAAACCTGGCCAGGTAAATTCAAAATGTTTTGAAACTAACGATGCAGCTATGATGCTTAAGGCATAGCGGACGAATCTACTGATTGCTTTTCTATAAGCGCGTAGAACCTGAGAGACTAGGTACCTCAAAGCAAAGTCTAATGTGTTGATTTGTGCATGCTCTACTTTTTCGAGCACGGCAACCAGAAGTACACACATCGACCATCTCTGCAGCTACGGACGGAGCCTATGAAATCAATTACTGTGATCGGGTCAGTTGGTGACAGGAAGCTTTATAGGCACTTTAGAGACTGCGTTCGGATTTAGTCGAGTTCAAACGACGTGACTTATGGCGGTATGGTTTGGCTCGACTTGATCACTTCATCTACAACACCTCCTGTTCATCCACATTCTTTCAGGTCGGTTCTGCTGAATTTCACAACACTATAGAAAATCTCGTTATTGCAATTTATCCAGGAAGTGATTCGGCATAGGAAGGTCTTAGTAGGCAGGCTCTATGGCCTGCAGAGAAGGCAAGTTGCACCTATCCTGTATCGTCTGCCGTCCTTCAAACATCGGTATTTAACCGAGATTGAAAGGGGGGAAGGAGTTTTTAGGAACTTTCCAAAAGCGTTCTGTGCGCCACTAGAGTATTTTGCTGTTTGATCTGTCTTTGCTCTTGGACACTACAAAGCTATTGACATTGTTAAGTTTTCTTTTGAGATTGCGCCATGCACTTTTAGTATAGTGTTTTGAATGCGTTACTTCACTCCTACATAATGACTCTTAGGAGTCAGCTGGCGTTGAAGTGGGTCGCAGATCCCTTTTTTCGTACTCTTCCGTTTCAGTGTTCTATCGGGCGCACTTTTCCGTTGAGATGTTCTTCAGAAGATCAAGCTTTCGACCGAGCGACAACCAATTGCAACTATCGAAACGCTATCAGAACCTGTCCGGAATACGACCATGTGATGCACTGCAGTAAGTACAAGTTTGGAACTTGCGCAAACTACCTAAACTAGCTAATTTCATGCAATCCGAGATCGTGACACTGATCGGGATTCGATGCGTGGTGCCCAAAACGCTGTTTCGCTGTTGTATTGAGACTGCACGGGCACCAGACTGTCTGCGACGGAGACGGACAACAACTGCCGTAAGTCTGTCCGAGTTCAACTGATTCTAACTGTTAGTTCTGAAAAACTAAAATGGGAGTGGTTCCTTGAAAGAACAGAATTGCTGGCCTTAAGATTCATTTTCGGAAAGTACGTGGTTTGGGTAAATATTAAAGGCAGCGGTTACGCTAGGTTTAAATGTGGTTTGGAGGGGACGAGGGGGTCCTCAATAGTACATCAGTGGCGAAAAAAGCAAAGAAATCCGTCAAAAATAAGCAAAATAGTGCCCCTTTGATTGCCCTTTCATTTTCGATCATGGATGAGCGACGGTAAAGACTGAGGTTGTTCGGACGTGTTAACCCCGATAGCTGCCATCATGCCAACAAGCATAGTGTTCGATTTGTAATTGACAGGCATAACATGGGCAAGATGGAAGATACAGCCGCTAGAAGGGAAATGATCATCCAAAATGAAAAGCCAACAGCAAACAGTCCATCCAGATCATCAACAAAACTAGTGGGCGTTACGTCACTGGGGGCGGAGCGTCACACGGGTCTGCTCAGCGACCACAGCACCTTTCGCGTGGGAGGACCACATCGCTTCCTTGCGCCTGCTAATTGTCTGTAGGAGCGTTTCTCCGCAGATGTGAAAATGTCCTTTCCGTAACCTATTCCTTTAAGGTGAATGAGGATAGGTTCATCCATGCATAAATATATAGGCAGTTCAAAGAATCTGCGTACTTATAATTCATTAGTTACGCAGTGAAATGACTACTAGTAGGAGGGAATGGTGGCCAGTTTTTGTTTACCATTCCAAAATTTCTAGTTCATTTTGTTTTACAGGCCGGCAAAAGTCTATTAAATAGCTAGTAGTATAGGTAAAAGTCTATTAAGTACCTAGTATTTCCTTCTCTGGGTTCACGACATTATGCTACATTCCAGCATCCTGCCCACGTTACGAGTTTGCCTGCGTGAAAAGCGGGCGGTGTATCTCAGCCGAGAAACGCTGCGATGGGATCTTCGATGATTGCGGCGACGGCTCCAACCTGGACGAGATTGGCTGCAATCGGAACACAAGTTTGTGCTTTTTTCAATTCGATAGGGACTATTCATTAAAGGCTTCCTTGCCCCTTAATTTGCGCATTGATGCGACTCTCATCGCTGTGCCCTCTTCAACACTACGCTCTCTCTGCTATCTAATCACTCGCCACGTATAGACCTGCGGCGAGTGATTAGATAGTCGGTGGGCGTACCCCGCCAACCGCGCCAAGAGTGAGCCATGCTAGATCGCCGAGGTCAAATCTTTCGCTGCCAATTGCGCGTCGGTCAGCACCCTCAGGAGGTCCGCCTGTCTCCCAACTATGCAATTTTCCCCTTCTTTGACCTTCGTTCTTATCGTGAATTCCTCCTTTAAGCCTGCGTTGGCAAGTTCATGTGCTATCAGTCATTGGTGGGACCGTCATGCATCGAATGGGGTAAGCACTGCGACGGTGAACGACACTGTGCGATGGGAGAGGACGAAGTGAACTGTGGTGAGTTAAACCATCACTTTTCGGAGTAATTTGGGCATTGGTCTGTGGGGTCACATTTCCCAAAGAAATATGCTGTTCTACAGGTGACACGGAGGAGAAATACGTGCAGTGTGAGAATCAGAAGCAAGCGATTCCGAGGAGTAACTGGTGCGATGGAGTGTCACACTGTGACGATGCTAGCGACGAGAAATATTGTAAATAATAAGTTCTGGTGTTCTATTCTTGATAAAGCGTATTATTCATTGAAAATTTGATTTAAATTTTTATTGGGTGCTTGGGGGGGGGGGGGGGGGGAGGGGGAGTGGTCGACTAGAGAACACTTGGGTGCTATGAGAGTGGGTGAGCACGCCGCTTTTTGACGTTACGTATCGTGAACATAATGTTCATCCACCCTGCTCCTTCTGACGATTAGTATACTTCTAGGAAACGATTGGGGTGGCGGCGCGTCAGACAGTAATCGTTATACATCATTTTCCCACAAAGTTCCGTTCCAGCTCGAAAATCGCGTCAACGCTCTTACATGAATCCAGCGTTGGACAGCAACGGGCGCGCTTTGAATGAGTTTTCGCCGCGCCTCCCCGCGATGCACAAGCATTTCCCCGCTGTGGACTCCGCCCATCTCCACGATTTCGCATTGCTACGACGCTCAGAAGTTTGTGTGAGGCATGAGAAAGCTAGAAGAATCAGTATTCAATATTGGCGGCATTTCGAGCAATTTCTACGATTTCACGTGGAGATCTGATGACAATAGCTAACCAAGAAGAATGTCTCTTTCAGAATGTTCAAATTTTGAAAGGTTTTTTGAAGCATGTTGAGCGTGAGGGGGACAGATGTCGTCAAGCGAATGTTCATCGCTGTTAACAGTACATCCAATGTTTTTTTGCTGTTAGAGGAACTCTGGAGTGAAGTGGAACGAAATCGGCAGGGGAACGAAAGCGACGTAATGAAAAATGAAAAGGTTGCGCGAGGGGGCATCGGTTGAGAAGATCCTAGTGCCTGATGGCAGCAATGTGGCTCTCCCACCCGCCCCACCACCCCGACCCCCACAACTCACGCGAAAGCCAACACTTTTTTCGATAGATGCAAAATCGCCTCATTGTAGCCTCCAGCACTGAGGTAGTTTTATGAAACAACAAACTTTGGAGGACTAATTTACCGAATTTTAGAGTTCTGTTCTTCTTGTCTCATGTGGATCATGTACGGATGAAAGTGACAAACTGATCGCAAGCGCTTGCAAACCCATCGGAGTACCATGGTAAAAAAAAAAGCCAAAAGACTTCTTGCAGCAAGAGGTCGAACCCTTCATCCTCATTTTTGCCAACTGCTAGATGCTCAGATTGCCATTTTCTCCTATGGTCAAGCAACTAGACGCAAGACGGATACATTAGGGAATGTCAATAGCCATCTCATTAGCCTCCACTGCACTGCAATTAAGCAGCTCGGCGAAATGGTAATTAGGATAAAGAATGGTTGAGCTAGGTAGATAGATGACAGTCATGAAACATTATGAGCTCCAAAAGATGATTTTCTGAAAACCTAATAAGGAAAGGAACTTTGGTCTCAGTTAAACATGTGAAGTTGACAGCGGTAACCCGTCGCCAGAAAAAGTTAGAATGGCAGAGCACTGAAACGACCGCCAGCATGTTTTTGGCCTCAGAACGCGATGTGAAGGTTATCGCAAAGGTGGTTGGATAGAGTCAAAACTGCTTGTCTAGACGACAATTAAGCCCCAACTTTCCGGGCTGATGTGCCACCAATTACACCACCAGGGCCATGTTTTTACATTACTCAGCCTTCAATGACGCATTCACTACCTATTCATTATATTCGTTCGTATTCGGATTTTTTAACCTCTTCATGCAGTGTTTTGCTCTAAATCGACCTTTGTGATTAGTTTGAACGCCTTTCACCAAACCCTACCGCAAAATAACTTAACATTATCCTGACTTCCTTATGGCGCCGGAGCTGAAGGCATCCTTCGTACAAAGTGAAGCTTAAAACTGCTTCCTTCGGGTGAGGGTCATCATTTTCGATTGTGGAGAGCTGCTTTTGTTTTTGGTCATCGAGCGGAATGTTATAGACTATGGCAAAAAATGGATCCAACCTTCTACGTTCCAGAAGTAATTGAGATTCTTTATGGGCACAGTCGACAGTTTCCACATTGAGTTCTAACTCGTTTAGGACCCATCAGGGCACATTATTATGGAGCACCGAAAATTGCGTTAACAGGATGCGTACATGCTCACCTGGTTTGATATAATGAGGCACTAACGGTACGAATCAATCGGCCGAAATAGGGAGATGTGACTGTATAAATTTCAACGAGTTCCGAATTGGATCAACTTTTTCCATACCGTACATTTTTTAGAGAAAGTGGTGTAGTGGCAAGTGGCACGCTTACCACGCGCGCGGTCTGGGGATCGAATCCTGGGTCGTGCGTCGTCCAGGGCCACCCATCCTTACGGAGTCGGTTAAATTTGCCTCAGGAAAAACACTGACTTGTACATCGGCTGGCCCCCCAAGTCATTGTATAGGCCACATCGCATTCAAACGCCACTACGAATGTACAAATGGAAGTAGAATGCGTGCCGCATCCCAAAAAGGGATTGATCAACGGCAAATGCTTTATCCAGGCTAAGTGCCTTATCCTTATATCCTTTTTTACAATTTTCTTGAACCGCTAATTAAATGTATAGAGGCCCTATGTGCCCTAATCTATCCATTTTGGAAAATTATTATTATATTTCACTATATTGTGCCCTCAGCTCAAGCAGAGTGCTCTTTTCAATTCGTTTTGAGGCCGCTCAAGTATCTCTTATATAAGCTGCATTTCAATGGACTTTCAAGTTGCCTTTCGGCAGAGTTCAGCTGAACAAATTGCCATTAATCTTGGTAAATCAATACTGCCAATATTTTCTTGACACTCGAGAACTTTTTTCTAGTGCAAATGTTTCAGATTTTTTTCAGCAGCATTGTTACACTAAATGTGTTGAAGAGAATGTTTGGGCCTTCAAATCAAGGCTATCCTGTTCCACATTTCTGAATAACAGATCTGAAATTCCCCCCCCCCCTCCTCTCCGGCTCTGCAGCCCCTTGGACGGCGGCCCCGGCGGTGTCATGCGTCGAACACGAATATTTGACTGATTTTCGGATTGATTAGCCGCAAGGTGACACTCTTCGCAGCGCTTTGTAACATCTGCGGCTCACATCCTACTTGCTCGTCTACTGTGGCGCCGATCCTGGCCCTCATCTTCGTGCAAATTGTTCCTCCTGGCTAGCCATGATCAGTACTATTTCATCCTTGACAATCAATGCAGCCAGCCTTGGACGAGAGTGAATTGTTTATCTCAGCTGCCTAACATGTGGTCTGTTCATCTCTCCATCGTCATTCCTGTCATTCAATTTTTCCTTGACTATTCCTCCTCATTCTCACTCGTTTCACTAATAATTTCCGTGAGCCCTCGTTTTACGATAACTTTCAGCGATTCTAGGAAATTTGATATTGTCCCAAAATTTGTCCCAAAATTAATTCTTTCGTTTTTAGCTGTGCTGAATAGTCAGTGGATATTGGCCCGCTGTGAATGAGTAGGACCACAATGAGCTCTAAGGACTGACTTCAACAAAGGCAATAAAAAGATTAATGATTTTGGAGTTTTTGGATGCGCCACGCATTCTACTTCCATTCATTCGTAGTGGCGTTTGAATGCGATGTGGCCTATACAATGACTTGCGGGGGCCAGCCGATGTACAAGTCAGTGTTTTTATCCTCCCAGACAAGTCTGGTACCAATTAACCGACCCCGGAGGGATGGAAGGCTTGGTTGGCCTAGGCGGACTCGTTCGGTCCAGGAGACAGTCAACCGGACCATGCGTAGTGAGAAGTAACGCCCAGTCGCCTCCTACACCAGCGGTCGAATCTCATGCGATCGGTAACCAGAGATAGTGCAGCGCTCATTTTCCAGCGTGGGTACGCAATGGAAAGATTCCACCTCAAAATTGTGAGACGGAACTCCTACGGCTTTGCTGATTTGCTCTTGAGGATGCGAGTTTTAATAGGCACAACCACAAATCATTTCTTAGAAGAGATCCCTTCTTAGTGATACTACATATTGTCACAGACAGAAGAACAGCTGGTCGGGGGGGGTGACCGGTAAACACATTTTAACCTATTTTGGGTAGGAAATAACGAGATAAGTTGTAATTTAGCCTAAACACTGCGCCTGACTCAGGGAGAGTTGAAACCGTTTGACCCTAAAAGCCCTTATCTCTACCTCGCTATTGGGCTGCTTAATCGTCAAATTTAGCGCGGTGCAGGTCGGCCGTTCAATGATTTGACGATTGCTTTTATTAATTTGAAAACCAGATTAACCATTATTCGTGAATAATACTGCTTGGCAGCTTCTCCCTTGGAATCGCTTTAAAGGATACGAATTCACGATGAAAAAGCAACCCATTTCAAATTAACCTAGGGATGGTGAGTGGTACACGAAAGAAGGAAGAACCATGAGAAACGGCCCAGAACCCGAGAAATGGGTACCCCTTCCTTGCCCGTTGATTCGAGCATTGATGCGACTCTCATCGCTGTGCCCTTCAACACTACGCTCTCTCAGCTATCTAATCACTCGCCACGTATTGAACTACGGCGAGTGATCAGATGATCGGTGGGCGGAGATCGCCGGACCCGCCAGCTTTGAGGCATGATAGGTCGCCGAGGTCAAATTTTTCCATGCGAATTGCGCGTCAGTTCGCACCCTCAGGAGGTCCGTGGGTCCCTCAACTAGGTCAGTTTCCCTTTCTTCGACCTTCATTCTAATCGTGAATTCCTCCTTTAACACGTTGACGACAACGCGCGTTTTGGGTTTTTGCGCCGCGTGGGACCACGGCGATTTTGCAGGCGCCGCCGCCTCACATCAAATCCGTGAATTTTGAGCTTTAAATACCCAAAACTCGGATGCAACAAAATGTTTAGAATGATATTCGATGTGTCAAACTTATCAGAAGGGACAACTGTAAAAAATCGATCGAATTGACGTTTTCTGGCGATGAAAGGCAAGTTTTCTCAGTTGCTTTTATGCATGCAGTGAAAACCTCAAAAATGTTATTTCTTGACGCTGACTGGCCCTCCATGCTAAAAAAACATATATCTTGCTATATGTGTAGGTCTGTACTTACTTTTACTACCCTTTTTTATGACCCTGGTTGT